TTTTTTCCTGCAACCGGAATGCACTGGAACTGCAAGCACTGATGTGAACTATGACAGACAACCATATCACCTACTTTTTTTGTATGTTTTTTGATGCAGAAAAAAAAAAGCAATTGAAACACATGTAGTGTGAACTGGCCCTAATGAATAAGTTCACATTTGGGAACATGTTACATGTTCCACTCATTTTTAGGGTGGAACATGTAGCATGTTACCGCAGCTGCGTTTTTGCATGCACGTTTTTGATGTGTTCCGGTGCATTTTTATGCATTTTTTTACGTGTTCCAGTGCGTTTATGTATTCCTAGATTGTAAGCTCGAAAGAGTAGGGCCCTTGAACCCCTCGTGTTTTGTCTTGTTACTGTATTGTTTCATGTACTGTCCCCCACTATAATGTACAGCGCTGAGCAAACCTTTTGGCGCTATATAAACACTGTATAATAATATTAATAAATTCCAGTTCATTTTTCCCCCCTCTCTTTCTTCAATTTAAATAGGGACATGCACTTTCCAGTGCTTTTTGGTGCATTCCAGTGCATTTTTGATGCGTTTTGCGGTCTAGTACAGTTCTGTGCAGAAAAAAAATGCAGCCTGTTCTTTTTTTCCTGCAACCAAAACGCACTGGAACTGCAAGCACTGATGTGAACTATGACACTGGCAACCATATAACCTACTTTTTTGTGCATTTTTGATGCAGAAAAAAAAAAAAAAAGCAACTGAAAGTCTCCCCGTACTCTGTCAAATTTGAAAACCGCGTGGCCATGCGGGGCTCTGCCCACACAGCCACATCATTCATTCACAGACTTCCATGAATGAATGAATGAACTGCAAGTCCCAGTAGCCATAGTGGCTGTCAGATCGTAGTTTTCAATGAACTACCATGGCAGTTCATTGAAGCTTCCTGTCAGTATATCTGTGTGCCCGTACACCCCATATGGCAAGCAGATATTCTGACAGGTTTGCAGCAGAGACCTGCACGGCATCTACTGATCGCTTTCCAGGCTGCTTTGGACCAAAAATGATAAATGCACATTTTTTTACCTGCAAAAAAAAAAATGTGCATTTATTATTTTTGTCCAAAAGGTGAACTTATACTTTAATTTTGCTAATAAAAGTTATCTGAAAGTCATTCGTATTTCCTGGGGGGGGGGGGGGGGGGGGGGGGGAAGATAAATCTGGAGATATGCAAGTTCTGGCAGCCCCAGCATCTCTAGTGGGGGGTATTCTCCTATTGGTACAGGAGAGAGTATAATTACACAGCAGCATCTAGTGGCTAAAGAAGAGATTCCTACTCCAGATAGAAGGGTGCATATGACTCAGACCTGCCTGCAGTGACTTGCACAGGAGGAGGTGGAGACACTATACACGAGATAGCAAAAAGAGGGGAACACCAGTGCATTGAAAGCTAAATTCAAATTTTTTTTCTAAATTACAACTTCCCTATGTACCAATATACCATTAATATACAGGCGTACCTCGGTTTACAAATTTAATGCATTCTGCGGGACTTTTCATATTGCAAAAAATTTGGAACGTGGTTTCCCATAGGAATGTATTGAAAATCAACTACCGTATTTGCCGGCGTATAAGACGACTTTTTACCCCTTGAAAATCTTCTCAAAAGTCAGGGGGTCGTCTTATATGCCGTTATACGGCATACTGACACTTTTTTTTCCAACAGAAGGTACACTAAGTACAGGGGGTGGGCAGGGGCTGTTTCTTACCTGGCTCCGGTCCCACGACGATTCGGTCCAGGAAGCGCGGCTGCTCCTTCAGTTCGGCCACTGGATGTTCACGCGGCTGCTCGGCTCCGCCTCCTCACCGGTGATTGGCCGCCAGAACTGTAGCTCAGGAAAGGCACACAAGCGGCCAATCACCGGCGAGGGGGCGGAGCCGAGCGGCCCCGCGACAATCGAGTGCAGGACCAGCAGGTAAGTGTTCAGTGTAGAGGTGCTGCTGCAACCACATATGCTGGCTGCAGCAGCACCATACGAGAACAGGGTCAGCAAGTGTCAGTGGGAGGAATAGTGCCCCATCATTGGTGTCACTGATACCAATGATGGGGCACTATTCCACCCCACGCTGACACCAATGATGGGGCACTATTCCACCCCCCGCTGACACCAATGATGGGGCACTATTCCACCCCCCGCTGACACCAATGATGGGGCACTATTCCCCCCACTGATACCAATGATGGGGCACTATTCCCCCCACTGATACCAATGATGGGGCACTATTCCCCCCACTGATACCAATGATGGGGCACTATTCCCCCCACTGATACCAATGATGGGGCACTATTCCCCCCACTGATACCAATGATGGGGCACTATTCCCCCCACTGATACCAATGATGGGGCACTATTCCCCCCACTGATACTAATGATGGGGCACTATTCCTGCCACTGATGCCAATGATGGGGCACTATTCCTGCCACTGATACCAATGACGGGGCACTATTCCTGCCACTGATACCGATGACGGGGCACTATTCCTGCCACTGATACCGATGACGGGGCACTATTCCTGCCACTGATACCGATGATGGGGCACTATTCCTGCCACTGATACCGATGATGGGGCACTATTCCTCCCACTGACACCAATGATGGGACACTATTCCTCCCACTGATACCAATTATGGGGCACTATTCCTCCCACTGATACCAATGATGGGGCACTATTCCTCCCACTGATACCAATGATGGGGCACTATTCCTCCCACTAATACCAATGATGGGGCACTATTCCTCCCACGGATACCGATGATGGGGCACTATTCCTCCCACTGATACCAATGATGGGGCACTATTCCTTCCACTGACACCAATGATGGGGCACTATTCCTCCCACTGGTGTGCATTGGAAGAGGGGTAGTCTTATACGGCGAGTATAGCCCAAACACTACATTTTAGCAGGAAAAGTAGGGGGTCGTCTTATACGCCCAGTCGTCTTATACGCCGGCAAATACGGTAATCCGTTCCAGAGGTCAGAAAAAAGTAAGAAAAAAAACGTCTTTTATCTGTTCAAAGTTCTTTATAAAGTGCACTTTAAAGGCATAAAGGGACAGGATTAAAAAAAAACAAAATTTGGAAATGCATTAAAAACCAATTAATCCGTTTTCGGAGGTCAGAAAAAAGTAAAAAAAAAAAAAAAAAAAATCATATCTGTTCAAAACTCTTTATGAAGTGCACTTTAAAGGCATAAATACTGTACAGGGACGTGATTAAAAAAATCGTAAATGCATTGAAAACCAATTAATCCATTCGCATTGTGAAAAAAAATTGTAAACTGAGACATTATTTTCAATAGACTTTCATTCTTAAACCAAAAATGACATTAACCGAGGCGGTCGTAAACGGAGGTATGCCTGTACTTCTGTTTCAGAAAAGAAAGAAACTTTATAAGCTGTATTTTAGGACAAGGAATTTTAATTCCCGCTACGCAGAGACTGGGGCCTGACAGCTGAGTCTCTGTCAACTCCCTCCTATGTAATTGTATAAAACTGGCCATACACTTTACAATCTGATCGTACAATCTCCTTTAGATTTACCAAGTACATAATAGGAGGACACACCTATCTATCCAATCGCCCTGTATCCAATCAGGCAGACCCTTGCACTAAATACAGTACTTATTATTATTATACAGGATTTATATAGCGCCAACAGTTTGCTCAGCGCTTTACAATATAACGGGAGACAATACAGCAACAATACAGTTCAATACAAGAGGGTTAGGAGCCGGAGCGGGCACTCGGGCACTGCCTGAGGGCCCGGGGTCAGTAGGGGGCCTCATGAGATGCCCCTGGTACCTTTTTCATAGGCTTTTTTAAATTTGGGCAAGGACACAGAGGCCCCATGATCCCCTATTGCCAGGGGTCCCCATGATTTGTCAGTCCGCCCCTGGTTAGGAGGACCCTGCTCCTTGGAGCTTCTGTAGTTGGTAGTAGATGTAAAGGAGATTGTACAATTAGATTGTATAATGGATGGTGCGCTTTACAGACCTCCAGGGAAACACTTCTGTCTTCATAGTACTGCTTGCATGTCAGTACAGGGGTGGAAGCAATCTCCTGGAGGAGGAGGGCAGGTGCAGGGTGTGTGCTAATGAGGTCAGCTAGTGAATTACTTCCTGTGTCTTAACAGTTTTCATGTCCTAAATCTACATATCAAGAAGTCATTAACTTTTCTTTGGAACAAGCTGGAGGCGGAGTTAAGGCTCTGTCCTAAAATACATAGAAAACGTTTTCTATTCTGTAACAGAAGTACATTAAAGCGATGCTAAAGGTTAATCTTTTTTTTTGTAAAATCACAAACATGTCTATACTTACCTGCTGTGTGTGGTGGTTTTGCACAGAGCAGCCTGGATCCTCTTCTTCTTGGGTCCCCCGCAGGCTCTCCTGGCTCCTCCCTCCTGTTGGGTGCCCCCACAGCAAACAGCTTGCTATGGGGGCAACCGTTGCTCTTTGTGTCCATTCGCGCATGGAGCCATGGGTGAGTGAATGCATAGAATGCATGAAGGTAAAAAAAAACTTGAGCATTCACAACCACTTTAATGATATACTGGTGCATAGGGAAGCTGGAATTTAGAAGCAAAATGGTGAACTTAGCTTTTAACCAAGACACCAATTATTTAAAGATAAAAAGTAATATACTCACAATCAATATAGAGCAGTGGTCTCCAAACTGCGGCCCAGGGGCCAGATGTTGCTCTTAGCTTGCCTTTATCTGGTCCTTGGGGCACACTTTCTCCCACTGACACCAACATTGAGGCATAATTCCTGTCACTGATATCAACAGTTGGGCACTATTCCTATCACTGACCCCATCAATGGGGCACTATATTTCCCACAGACACCAAAGATGGGGAGTTTTCCTACCATTGACACCAATTATTGGGCACTATTCCTCCCACTGATACCAATGATTGGGCACTATTCCTCCCACTGAAACCAATGATTGGGTACTATTCCTCCCACTATTACCAATGATGGGGCACTATTCCTCTCACTGACACCAATGATGGGGCACTATTCCTCTCACTGACACCAATGATGGGGCACTATTCCTCCCACTGACACCAATGATGGGGCACTATTCCTCCCACTGACACCAATGATGGGGCACTATTCCTCCCACTGACACCAATGATTGGGCACTATTCCTCCCACTGAAACCAATGATTGGGCACTATTCCTCCCACTGACACCAATGATGGGGCACTATTCCTCCTACTTATACTGACAATGGAGCACTATTCTGCCCACTAATACCAATGATGGGACTTTGTTTGCTGCCATTGATGCCAAGGCATTTTGTACCCCCACTGGCCACAGTCCAGCCCCCACAAATTCTGAAGGACAGTAAACTGGCCCTTTGTTTGGAAACCCCTGATATAGAGCATTGGGCTTATCACAAATTCCTAACGAATCAACCAGAACTGGTAACACCTCCAGATGGCCTACAAAGGATGTCCCAAAGTTTTGCAGACGCTAATACATTTCGCCCCTTTTCATCAGAGCCAACTTAAAATGCATTAGCATCTGCAGAACTCTGGGACAACCATTCGGTCCATCTGGAGATGTGTTATCAGTTCTGGTCAACTTGTTGGGAATTTGTGATGAGCCTGATGCTCTATATTGTAGGAGTATATTTATTTTTATCTTGAAAAAAAAAAATGGTGTCTCCCAGTAATGCACAAGGCTGATGGTAATAAGGCCCCCCTTTATATTTTATCATGTATATTGTAGCTGGCCAGCTAAGACCAGTCCTAGGTTGCTAATATGGTTCACATATGTGTATACCAAACCTGCCAATAACCTCAGTACAGTATATATGTGCATATGTTAAAGCCAAAAGCAAAATCATTGCTGTAATTTATGTCTTTGATTGTTATATGACATTTCTATATTCATTGTGTTAGCAGAAGCAGAAAAGGAAAATATGCCTTTAAGAGTTAGTTAAAGGTGAGCCAATCACAGACAGCCTCACACTGTACAGAGCCTTAACCAATCCCAGCCAGTTTCACATTTGTGCCTGTGTAAAACTCCCTGCTAGTATTTCTAGAGACACATGCTCACCAGACAGAAGAGGAAACAGACAGTTCCAATCAGAAAAGCTTTATGGAAGCAGAGAAGGCCAAATAGGTATTTAATGCACTTGTGTGTTCCTCTGTTGTTTAGTAATGCAGGTAGATCTGTATGTAAAAAACTGTTGTATGTGTTTACTTGTAGTTCCACCGAACTTACGAATTAAACGAATCAAGTCACTGTAGAGTAATCATAATCGAACGAATCCTATCGATCTATTTATCGAGATAAGCTATCGAATCAACCCAATGTAATACGAATTAAACCATTGTAATATGAAAGAAACAAGCCATTGCAAGCTGTTATATGAAGAAGATTGAAGTTATTAAAGAAGTTAACTAAAGTATTCGGTGTGCTCTTTAAACCTACTGCATCCATAGAGCGGCATTGGAGGAATTACAGAGTAAAGTCAGTCTAATCAAACAAAGAAACAGCAATTGCATAATTTTTCTAATGCCACAGCGCACTAGGCACCAAAGGGTGCTGCGCCTGCCACAGTGGAACTATTACCCTCAGAGGTCAAGCAACAGCGCTCCTCAACTTGCACAGTAAAGAGTACACTAGAGAAACAGAGCGCCAGCATATACCGCCACGCGGAGACACCTCAGCGGAACAACAGTACAGGCCATAGCACGTGCGCATTAGTCAGACTGCAGACGACTCTTAAAGTGGCATAACGGCAAAGGCAAGACAGTCAGAGAAAGAGCGCCAAACCTCCTGCACCCCTAGAGAGAGAAAGAGATGCATGGGGGGAGGGCCAGATTCCAGAGCTAGAGTGCCTGCACCGCTATCCATCAAGAGACCACGTGTTGCATCCAGAGAGTTCACAATACTAGTCGCAAGTCACCGCAGAGCATCACAAAGTTACCGCAGAGCATCGCAAGTCACCGCAGAGCATCGCAAAGTCACCGCAGAGCATCGCAAGTCACCGCATCAAGAAAAGAAAAGTCTCCTTTAAGACTGACGTTTGTTTCTGCAACCTTCAGATCACGGTATCCTGCTCTTCAATTAAGGTCAGAGCTTTCCTTTATTACTCACTTATGCACATAGGTTTCTGCAAGAGACATTTTTGTGCTCAAGAGAATACAGACTTTTAATAAAAGAGAGACGGTTATAGTATATGACTCAAAAGTATTTAAAGTGAAAGTCATTTATTGCCTGTGTTTTGGTGCTATTACATGTAAAGTGAAAGTCATTTATTCTTGCATTTGTTAGTATTGCATTTAAAGTGACAGGTCCTTATTATTCATATTAATTATTATAGCATTCAGAAATGGCTGAGCCTAGCATTGCCACCCACTGTTAGCGGATGCAATGATAGATATGATAGAAGGTGAAGAGCAAGGGAACCTGTCTGAATCTGAAAGGTGCAATGTAACGGTAGTCTCGCCCCAAACAAATATAGCTGAAACAGGTGAACTAAGACGTTCATCACGGGACAGAAAACCGACCCAAAAGGTGCTAGAAAATTTGGAGCAAGAGGCAGCACTGAAAGGAAAAAAGTTTGCCCGAATGTATGAGAGGGTGGAAAGGAAAGTATACATTACACTGTTCAACAGTAAAAAGTTTTGGGCATAAAATTAGCTAATCTTACATAATTTTGGGGTGCTGAAAACGAAAATGACCCTAAAAAAATGTTGATTGGCTCTAGTTTCCATGATATATTCACCCATCTAATGACGTAAGCCATTCAAAATTATGATGCAACTTCAGCTGCATATTGCGCAATTGATACTGGTGACCAATAGAAAATTGCATGTATACTGAGATGATGCAATATTAGCCTTTAATTGCATCACTTCACTGCATAAAAGCTGCAGTATCTGTAGCTGATTGAAGTTCGACAGCGTCTTTACATTTTGTTTTATGCTTATATAGGCTACTCAGTAATGCCTCGAACTTGTGTGAATAAAGCAGATAATTTCTGCTATATCTGCGGTGAAATAACTTTTATCTCACAAAAAAGGAGGATAACAGGAATGATTAAGAAAGCCTACAACTTGTATTTTGGCTGCAAGATAGGAGACCAGGACAAGAGCTGGGCACCACATATATGCTGCAATTCTTGTGGGACAGCACTGGAGCAATGGTTGAATGGAAAAAAGGCATCTATGCCTTTCGCTGTGCCAATGATTTGGAGAGAGCCAACAGATCATGTTAGTAATTGTTACTTTTGTATGGTGCCTCCAATTGTAAAAGGGCTAAATAAGAAGAAAAAGTTATCTGTGCACTATCCAAATATTCCATCGGCAATACATCCAGTTCCTCATGGAGAGGGGCTACCAATTCCTAAAGCACCAGAATCCTTCGTGGTTGAGTCAAGTGAGGAAGAACCTGAAGCGTGTAGTCACGTGCAATTGTAAGAGATAGCCCTTTCCTCGAATACAAGAGAAAAGCCAAGAGAAGCAAAACCGACACAAACTGAAGACAAAACTAGTGAGAATCCTAATTATTAAAATGATTCAACTTAGCTTATGGCTATAATTTTTCTTGGTAATCCTATGCAATATATTATGCCATTTAGGCTTTGTTATGTAGTCAATATCACTTGCTTTATATTTGTGGAAAGACATCTATCTATATAATTATTGTGCATTATGTAGTCATTACGCCTATAGTAGAAAACTTTCCGTTTACAGAAAAACTAGAGCCAATTGACAAATTTCATTGTTATATTTGAACTCAGAATGTGAAATCCATTAAGAAATGGATCCTTTTGTTTCCAAAAACTGGCAAAAAATAAAAATTTGTTGAACAGTGTTATAGGCATTCGCAGAAAGCTAAAACAAGAAAGCATAAAGGAGAATTTGAGTGAAATAATAGAGACAGTAGAAGATTCTGAGTCAGAGCTTATGACAACATATGTCAACTTGCGGTCGTCCTTGACACCCTCCCAGGATATTGTAAGGAACGTGGATACATGTACCGCAGTCACTAGGGATTTAGTGAAGCTTATGAGAGAACTATCATCTGCAGCAAATTATGATGAAGTCAAGGTACGAAAGGGAATGAATGAGCTCTTCATGAAAGACTATGCTAGGTCCTTAGGAGGAACCACAATCTCAAGTGTGACTTCCATCACTAGCAGAAGTGCCAGCCACATAACAGAGTTCTCAAGTACGTCAGCTAAAAGAAAGGAATTGGCTGAACAACTTGCTGCCAAAAGAGCAGAAGTTGAGATGGAATCTGCCATTGAGGCTCAGCATCTACGGATGGCCGAAATGGAGGTTCAGCGTCATAAAATGGAAGCCGAAATGGAAGCTCAGCGCCATAAAATAGAAGCCGAAGTGAAAAGTCTGGAAAGGCAGAAGGAAGTTAAGATTATAGAAGCCAGACTCAGAGTGCACGAAGAGGATACGAATCAGGGTAGTCATAGATCCAAATCATTACTAAGTGGAGAAGCTGACTCCTACGTTCTTCCTTACGCCCAGGAAAATGGAAGGAAATCTCCAGCATGTAGTGAAGAAATAAATCATAGTCCTTCCATCCCTGCTCAGAGAGAAAAAAAGAGAGACTCACCTGATTCAGAACAAAGTGAAAAAGAGAACCAGATAATTGAACTCCCATATGTCATGGCAGTGGTCACGAGGATGTTACAACTGTTGACCCGGCGAAACCTCAGAGATTTCTCACTAGACTTCCTGTTCCGGAACCTACTCTATTCTCCGGAGACGTACTGAAGTTTATAGAATGGAAGGCAAGTTTTGAAATGATCATTGAACATAATTGCTCCCGTCCAGTGGACAAGTTATTCTACCTCCAGCGGTATACTGGCGGAGAAGCAAAAAAGGTTCTTGAAGGTAACTTCTATAGGAAAGATGAAGAAGCCTACAAGCAAGCTTGGGAAAAATTAAATGCAAGATATGGTCATCCCTTCTTAGTGCAAAGAGCTTTCAGACAGAAGTTGATAAACTGGCCTAAAATAGGTCCTAAAGAACACTTCAAGCTCCAAGAGTATGGCGACTTCCTGCAAGCATGCAGCAACGCTATCCCACATGTTCAAGGACTAGAAGTATTGAACGACTATCTAGAAAACCACAGGATGCTAGCCAAGCTACCAGAACAAGTGGCTTCTAGATGGAATCGCTATGTGACTGAACAGTTAGATCAAGGCAAAAACTTCCCAAGTTTCAAAGAGTTCTCTGAATTTGTCAATAAGGAAGCACGAATAGCGTGTAATCCAGTAACAGCATCTTATGTCTTAAAACCCTTAGAAGAAAGGCCTACGAGAGAGATAAGACGCTCAAGAGCAACTAGCTTTGCAACCAACACAGCTACTAAAGGTCCAGATGCCCATGAGAGCAGGTTCAACATCACTACTGGGATCAGTAAAGAGTCAGAACCGACAAGTCTTCAGACTACCTTCAAGTGTATGTTCTGTGAAGAGAATCACTCCATACATAAGTGCCAACAATTGAAGGAAAGG